CAGTGTACATGGTCCAATCTCAATGAAACTTCACACGTTTGATAAGAGTCCCGCCCTGAACACGTCTACATGACAATATTCAGACATAGTGATAGCGCCACCTACTGGCAACAGGAAGTAAGCGCTGTGTGGCGATTTTGAGCTGATTTACGTGAGATTTTCATGTTGTGGTCCGCACGTGTTACGACGGCACGTGACGCGGCCGCAGCACACCCCATTGGCACGTGGCACGGCCGCAGCACATTCCGACACGCGTCAAGTGCGAGGGCCCGTTCATCGCTGCTCACAGCTTTAATTTTAATTAGTATCTCAAAATAATGATTTAGTACCACACAAAGTCATTATTTTGGGATATTAAGTCAAAATCTTGTTCTTAACAAAATGTAAGGTAAGTGCCTTTTTAAAAGTAGTATTTAGTAAAGTATATTTTCTGATTACCGTGATATCGTGTATCGCAATTATTCTGGACAAGATAATCGTGGAATGAACTTTTCATATAGTCCCATGCCTAGTGGGGCTGTGGCGATCAGTTTGCATATCGTGGAGATTGGACGAAATAAAAACAGAAACAATCATCAAACCCTAGTTTTCAGTGTAACCTGCTCTAGTTGAGGACTGTTGCTGCTGACTGAATCCTCTTCACCTGCTCTCAGATATTTATATCACTGTGTCTCTCACAAGGTCTGAACATGGCGTGTGGACAACATTGTGAATGCCAGTGCTTTGCAGGCCAAGGTGATGCGAATCCAGGTAGAAGCCATGTCTGCCTAGTGCTTTAACTTGTTTGATCCAGCTCACATGAAGGAGAGGAGGTGGGTTACAGCTGCATTATGCACGATTCTCTTAAAAAGTATCAATTACTGGCTCTCAAAAGTGTTCAGGTTCAATCGCCATTCCATATTGGTCAATCTACTCAGGATCTGGTTTCTCTTAGCTGCAATTAATGAACCTGCAGGAGCATAAAACCAGGACTGATATCACAAATTGGGACTGCACGGACAAAAACACCCCTAATTGGGATCAGGAGGATTTTCCCTGCTTGCCCAGAATTAAATTTCATTGTCAGTTGGTGGATAAGAACTCTTTCCCTAACAACTGACAAGCTGAAAATTAAGCAGCAGCCCAGTTCAAAGTAAACAACAGATCACAGGAGACGCTGCTTTAAAAGTTCTTCACACCTGTTCACAGGAACAACTGTTCTTGTCACATGTAGAGAGGTTATCAGACAAAGTAGCAGAACATGTAAGAGAGATTTGCAGAATGCCATACTGTTATCATTAAATGTCAAGTGACTGCTTTGGCTCAGTGATAATGTACTGTATGTTTACAGCTATCGCTGTTAATGCTGGGGGATTAGTTTGCCCATCTTGCTGCTTTGGTTCTTTGAGAGCTCCCTCCCAGAGAAGAACCTTTTCTGATAAATCTAAGCAAATCTAGCAATTTGCTATTAACAGTCAATTCGTTGACTGAGTATTTCTGACTAAGCTCTACTTCTGCGCTGAAGAAGGTTGTGAGGATTTCATCCAGCTGGATAGATTTTATGAAGAGTCGAAACAGCCATTAAAATCCCATAGAGAGAGAGGGTGAGACTAAGCACTGCTGGAGGCTATCAACAACTCCCTCTCCATCTATACGACCCCAAATCGAGTAGAGATGTACGTCAGAATCTGCGTGGAAAGGATTTTTTTTTCTTCTTTCTTTTCGCCCACTGACTGTTATGATTCAACTCAGCCTTTAGAACCGGGTTGAGAAGAGAAGAGCGTGGGCTTTCTCTCTCCCCCCCCCCTTTCTCTCTCTCCAACATACAGACAGATAGAAAGGAACAGCTCAGTGGTGGGATGTGTGAAGGAGGTGGGGACTGAAACAACCAGCTGACTGTGAAAAAAGCGTGAATCATTTCTTTAGCGCCTATCTTCTCATGTCATTTTCCTCACAAACTATGATAGACTGTTTAGAGTGCTTGTCTCAGGGTTATTTTTACAGCATTTCTGCATCAATAAAATATTCATATTAGAGCAAGTTATGTGTCTCAGATAATTTAAGGGGTTACCCATTGACTTAGGTCTTGAATCCACAGCACTGGCTCATACGGAGTGGTGACAAATCTAAGAAAGTGTCACTGATTGGTTTGTACCGTTTTGAAGCCTCGAGTTTGGCATTATGGCCTTTCCCATGACGTTTTTTCGAAGCCAGTGGAGGAGAGTTGAGCTGTGCTCATTGGCTGCGCAGTTACGACTCATCCGTAGGAGGAGAATGACTTGTCAATCAAAAGGTAGCCAGGCCCTAAAGCATAAACCTGCTTTATGGCCTATTTTACTCTAAATGGGACCATTTATTAAATGAAAATCATGCTGTATGGAAAAAGACTGAAACTAGAGATTGAGACCTTAAACTCATTAGAAAACTGCTGACTGAGCTCATAAATCAAGTCAGAAGTCAGCTCATTTCTTCATGAGAGGGCATGGTATTGATTTATAGCATGTTGATATTGCATTTATTGCAGCCAATGGAGCTGCCACCTGCTGGCTATTACATAGAATGCAGGTTTAAGACAGTTCCTCATCGACTTCACTTCACAGACCCGGAAGCCTATGACATGTACTGTCAATGGTAGAAACATACAAAATGGACTGGCCAAACTAAAGTGGAATCAGACCAACCAGCGTCCTTTAAGGAAGTACTGGCAGCTACAGTGGTGGGCACTAGGTGTGATGCAACAACAATGGCGGCTGCTAAAGAGGTTAGCAGAGATGCTACTAGCATCTGATTTATCAGAACTGGAGAGTAGTCTCCATGGAAAAGATGTTTTCACTGATTTGCATAAGACTGATTTTGTTTTGTTTTAGGTCCATGTGCTGTTTAACATGTACTGTTCTATCAAACATGTCTGAAAGGAAGTAATAAGAAAATCTAGATGTGTTTTTTTCAGTTTTTTTGATAGTCAAATGTGTATTTTGAATTAATTCAGTAAAAACATGAAGAAGGCAGTGACAGTGAAATAAAATGTAGTGTGAGAGTTAGACAGTGAGTCTGGGTCCATGCTCACTCACCTCCTTTAAATCCCCATCATTGTAGAGTTGTCGCTAACTGGAAGGGATTGACATCTCTGTATAACTGCTCTCACATCAACTCCAGTGGTCTGGGAAGAGACACAATGTGCACACATACAAACACACACAGACATAGAAACACAGTTACTTCAAAAGTTACTATACATCTGTGAAATATTGGTTCTCAGTAGATGCTGTGAGCTTCATCCAGTCATTTTACTCTTGCATAACCAGAGCTTCATCTTGTCAAGCTCACTCAACGATAAAAGAAATATGAGGATGTGTCCTCCACAGTTCTTCTGGCAGCCATCCGAACGGATATGACTTGAAAAATCACCATCCACCTATACAAACAAAGCCTCTGTAGAGCCTCATCCATAACCCCATTTTATTTAGGTACGGTTAAGTTTATACAACTAAAACTACTTGGTCAGGGTTAAAAAATTCCATTTAGGATATCAACAAAACATAGGGTAAGAGCAGTGGCCTGAGAAGTCCTCAACCTGCAATAGGGCTGGCTATTATTCAAAAATGTTGATACAATTGCTTTGACTTAGATACCAGTTCCTGAACTATACAATTTTTAGAAAATACATTACACATTACATGTACATATGTACATATACAATTGCTCAACATGTTTTATTGATTAATGACCATTGGTGCAGTGTCAGGAAAATCTAAAAACACATTATGGGTGGAATACTTAAACGTACTACAAGGAGTTTTTACCTGGTTATGAAACAGTCTCAATTTAATACTGATGCTTCAACTCTACAAACAAGACCATCAATGAAAAGACTGGCTGTTTCTTTAAAGTTATTTTTAATGTCTGCCCCTAGAAACAGTACAGCTTTTGTCCACTGGGACCTCCAGCATCAACATTAAATTAAAGCTGCAAGCAGCATTGGGCGGGACCTCGCCATCAACCTACGTCGGGGC